GAGATGTAAATACACAGAAAATTGCACCTCGGAGACAGGGCAGCCCACCGGCAGAAGCAGTCGAGCCCTGTCTTTACGAGCGACTACGAAGCCGTAGCCAATTACCGACCTTTCTAATTACCACGCGACCGTCCGACTAATTTCTCACAGCGAGAAATTCTTTTCCGGTCAGAGGTCAATCGCACGACCGAAAAGTCACCCCCACGTGAACTTTGTTGTGCCCACGGAAGGGAAAGACTTTCGTAGAACTTCTCTGATCTTGAATTTTCTCCTCTTCCTCGAAACCGTTAAGTTGCGTCATCGCCTGACCTCGAAGCAGTAGACAATAAGGTGGCTGGATGACATGGCGCTGGAGCTGCCAGCTGACAACGAGTAAAGGAGAAGAACGACGAGGAAGGGGTTACACGTCGGCACTTTGTCGCGGTCACGTCGTTGTCAATCACCGGTGATAGGAGGCGACACATTAATCTCGGTGGGACCTCCTGACCGCATCTTCTACTCTCTCTGCGGTTTAAGAGACCTTTACGACCTCGAAGCTGCGTAGGCACTGTCGTCCGCATAGGCCGTCCAGGCGTGTAATAGAGGACTGTTTACTCTAGTGAATAGTCCGTGGATCCTAATCGCAGCGTCAAATAGCACGACGCGCATAACTGATATTTATGATTTTGGAAGACTATAGATAGAAAAGTTATTTTACCGTCGGAAAGGACCGTTCACAGGTTATGCCTAGTCGACTGTGTCCACTAGGTGCCATTTATGCGACAGGCACTTTCATCTAGTAAGATGGTTACAGTCTAGGCCACCAGAGTCGTGCTTGCGAAGCAATATATGTATTATCTAATAATCGTTAGCAATTATTGATTATTACGGTGGGCAGGCTCGATTCACTGTACGCCATTAATTACTCGAAAGACCGGGACGAAACGGCCATTACCGTCTCCCTCTTTAATCACCTTACACCCATGCGCCATGGCGACGCTCTCTCTGCGGTACAATGCAGACGCATGTACAATCGTACATGCCAATAAAAGTTATCGAAAACTCTTTTTTTTTTTTTTTTTTTTTTTTTTTTTTTTTTTTTTTTTTTTTTTTTTTTTTTTTTTTTTTTTTTTTTTCTTCACCGAAGAGAGCACGCTTACCGAATTACCAAGTATTCTCACGGATATCGCTCATCAGTCTCTAGAAGTCATTCGAAATGCCTAGGTATAATTTCACGTATAAATTAACGTTAAAATAATTTCCCTTTATCGCGTGGCATAAAGAGTAAATAAGGTAACATTCGTTCAGCCAGCTAATAGATTCCCTCAGGACGCTATCTCGGAATAAATGCCTTCCCCTAGCGACACCGTTCATCATAGCCGAAAGTCGACAGAGGGGTCGCTGCGACTTTAGCGGGGTAAAAGAACTAGACAGCAACCCAACCTGAGGGTATGATAGAGGACAGAGAGGGAGAGAGAGAGAAAGATGAAAAATCCATGAGGGAAGATAAACAGAGTATCGCAACAGATAAGAAATCCCGTGATTCCTTAGGACCGAGGTGGCAATCAGAAATTTCTCTACCCCAAGAACGCTGAGGAGTCCTGTGGGAGTGTGTCCGTGTCCCGAAGGGTGAGCCACTGCTAGGCCAAGAGACAAATAGCATTCTTGTCGAAGTAAGGAGGCAGGAGGCACTGCCCCGCAAGGGAAGTCAGGAATCTAACCAGGATAGGAAGGACAGGGTCAGGCCAGCGAGGAGCAACGAAGGAGGACGAGCAGGAGGAAGACGAAGAACCCGAGAGTGGCGCACATTAATCTGTATCAGCCGTGAAGTATCAATATTTAATGGTAATCCGGAAAATTACGAGGCTCACGAATCTAGCTCAAAACCCAGCTCAAACCATAGTCAGCGCAGATTACATAGGACACTTTGATGTAAACAGAAGATTCTGCATCGGACAGGAAGACACAAGATGTCAATTGTCAGTCGCGAGCACAGGGTCTCCGTTATAGTAAGATTTCCCAGTTGGTAAAATGGCTAATAGTGCCAGAAAGTCTTGTGTAAGTTAAACATTCCGCGGGGTCGCGAGGCGTCGTAAAGCGTCGCGGCGCCTCACTGTTTACACCGCGACGTCGTGGCCCACCAACGCCGTCTTATACCGACTGCCGTTCAGACTCAACGTTCGTCTCCACGTGAGCCTCTCGTTTCGAGCGGCATCGACGCGATTCTCGCTCATGTATTCCGTGTATCTATTTTTATACAGGAGTCACACGTAGTCGAGCCCAATGTTACCGACATGACGCACACAGACCCATCCTTTCAAGTTCAACGAGGTCAGAAGCCAAGATACACTCTGAACTTCTGCTCGGTGAATGATGAGGAATGAGAATTGGAATCTCGAAGGATAGTACGTACATTCTTATTTCTTGCCTATCTACCTACTGGATGGACGCGTGTATATGTACAGTCACTTTTGTACAGGACAATTTAGCATTGCGTTCGGGATTGCCTCTACGGATTTATGACGGGCAGGCACAGTCGGCTGATGTAGTGCTGTACAGTGGGACATACAGGGCTTTTCCATTTATAGAGGACATACTTAAAAAAATAAGTCTTAATAAGGCGAGCCAAGATAAATTGATACATTAGCATCCGAGAAATGATTCATAGAGTGGCAGCCCGCGGGCGAACGGATCTAGGGGAAAAGGAGCCATGATATATTGCCATTAGCATTGGTTTCATATTAGAACAAATAGGCTCGTGTTTTAGCCTCTAAAAGGCCAAACCTGCCGGTGCTTTTAATGGGATGCAATACGCAGCCCCTGAACGGAAGGAGACATCCCTTAGAGTTGCCAGTCGGCCCGGCTTGCCATTGGCTGCCTTCTCTTGCGGCTCAGGACCCTACTGGCTGACGTAAGGGCGGCAGCATTGAAACCGGAATGGCTATGGGGTGCGAAGCACCCTTCTATCGGTAATTTACAGCTTAGAACGCGTTTATTAACGGCGGGCCGAGTGTGTCACTTTTGACTGGGCTCTTTTATGATTTATACACACCGGTCTGGAGTCGCTCCGGGGCTGAAGGATCGTCGACGTCTTCTTCGCGAGCGTAGCAGCTGCCATTACGACGCAGATGGAGCTGCAGATGTTGTTTTTCAATGTACAACGTCCACGAGAATCGCGAGCTACGACTTCGTCATTGTGGATTATTTCAGAAATATTCCCGAAAAAAATTTCGAAAATACAATAATTTCAAGCAAAAAAAAAAAAAAAGACGTCCTGATAAAAAGGATCTGTGAAGGAATTCTAAGTGAAGCAGTGACCTCGGAGGGAGATCATCGGTCATAGGGGGGCCAAGACTTATATGAAGAATGCAGGAAGAATTGGATTGAGAAGTCCTTCGATTTTGTATGGACGCGTCTCCGCGTCTCCGAGTCCCAGCGATATAAAGTATCAAGGGATGAACATACTTCGGCAGGCTGACACGACGACAAATGAAAAATGCCGAGACGGCCGATCAATGTAAATATATTCATGATGTGGGGTGGATGGGTGACTAGGGGCCAGATATATATGGTCTTTATAGGATGGGTTTTTCTGGCGAGGACCCGATGGCACTTGGACGGCACATAATTCACTCTTTGGCAGCTCATTACAATTTAAAAAGGTCTTTGTCAGTATATTACTCATGATTCCTATACGTATCATTCTTCTCGCTCCGGCTCCATCCTACTCCGACGTGTCCCCCCCTCGAATTACTTTGAACTCTCAATTCAGGCGAGATTCCATTTCCTAAAATCAGCCCAGGTCGGCGAACGTATAAACCGTGACGAATATCGGTTTCGGTAGGGACTTGAGAAACCGATACAATTAGGATGTCGAGAAAATAAATACGCGGCATCGGCTCGTGAAAGCAGGGCTGCCATGTTTAAACGGGAGAAGAACGTCGAGGCCCGATAAAAAAGTAGTAAAGTGGCATGTAGTCCGAACCCTCGACGGCATCCTGACTAAGGAAGTCTGAGACGAGCACCGCGTATAGATATAGACGCGCGTACACGTGGGATCAGAAATGGCTACGTGTGTGTCCAAACTGTAGCACAAGAAGCCGAGCCAAGTTCCTATAGTGGATTTCTAATTTTAGTTCCCGGGCACAATCATTTGATTGACCGCGACGAAAGAGAAATGACTCTGTTGTCCATTTTTGAAAAGGCCTCTGCTAGTTACTTCGTCCGCCTCGATGATTCTGGCCAATTATCATTATCATGCTCCCACGTGATTCCATTGTCGACGGTTGACAGGGGACAAGGATCTCTCTCCCTCTCGCGGACCGTGGATGAAATTTCGAGAGCGGAATTTTCAAGGAACGACATATGAGATATTTCAACAAGGGCTAAGGGCTAAGGTGAAACGGGAAACGTCCGAGAAAATGCAACCGCTTTTTCGCTTCTGTGCTCTCCTGAAATTCCCTAGGGACATGCTGGAGAAATTGATATGTATTCCATGCTGCGCCACGTCCAATCTATCGTGGGTCAAGCAGGCGGAATTTTAAGCGCGATACACGCCACGATATATATATATATATATGTATACGCGTATAGACCTCTACATTTACGTGTTACGTACGAGCCGCGCGCGTGTACGAGAAGGTAGCGGCTTCCTGTTAGCCAGAAATACATACGCACGCGTATCGAAGTGTCTACGATAGAGGGGGAGTGCCTCCCGAGCAACTGGCCGATATCCTTCTATACATTCTAAAACTTACGAGCGCATAAAGTCCGCAGCCTTATACGCGGGAACCGTTTCGGAGAAGGTACCAAGGGATGGCGCTGGTCATCGCCGGAAAATTGAATTTTGTCCCTGAGGATTCAACGAATGAGCTATGCTGACATTTCAAAAAATTTCAAGAATCCACGAAAGATGCGTACGGCACCGTTAATATCGTACAAGTTACGTAAGAAAGTTTCGGGGATGATTCCCAGTATCACGTTATAGCGTATTTTCTAGTTCAGAATAAGTAAAAACTCACCGTGCGGTACCCAGCCATGATGACACTTTCCACAGTAGCGTAGATGACGTTTCCCAGGTGTGAATGACTCGCAGGAGCATCCATTGACGGTGCACCTTATTGACTGTAAATAGAAAAATCCCAAGGGTTGGTACGGTCAACCGCTGTAAGGAATTGAGTACATTTGGGTCTTCCTAAATATCGACATGGGTGTATGGTCCACAGGCATTTAGTAAGGGATCAAATCGTTAAGTCTGTACGAGGGGTCGGGGGGGTTGCAGGGTTTAAAGGAGAAGATCGCCCGGGGGTGAAGGTGAGCCCGGTGAAACCTCCTAGAAGGTACAGAGGGTGGGACTGGTGTTTTGAGTGACCGTTTGGCATAACGCCACCCGAGAGGGTCCGTAAGAGATGGGGTTGTCGGATTTTAAGGAACCGTGAATATTTCCGCCCTTCGGCTCAAAATTAACCCCCTGGGAACCACTATCCAATCCTGACCGCTAGAGGGAAGGAGTCCAACCCCTACCCCATACCTTATGTATCTGCCTTTACTTTATGTATGAACGCACCACACAACTTTATCATACTCGTGCTCGCACGTGTGGACGATTCCTTTACGTGCTACTGTCTAGCTCCTCGACTGGTGGGAATTTTCCAAAAGTCAACGATACTTTTTGCAAACTTCCCTCAGCTTCAGTTAAGAGAGTTGCAACAGGAAGATGATACGGCACTGCGCAGTCAATGGGGGTGGCTATGGTTCTAGAAGGTTTCTGCCGCAGGGCTGAAATTATTTCTTAGGTGTCGAAGCCTTGGCAGTGGAGAAGTACAACAAGTGCAACGTCAGAAACAACGTGCGCACAACGAACTATAGAGGAAAGCTCCCGTAGCTATACAGGGGGGATCGTTATACGGCGTAACGCAGCGGCGCTGTTCCGCGACGGCGTATGGCGTTAATATAAAGACAAATGAAGCAAGGCGTAAGCGCGACCCTGGGCCATGTGTCTTTATATAGACAGCATTTCGTGGCACCGCGTAAAAGCTTCGCAGGCTAACTTCTGACAGTGGGGAAACTCTCACCCTCCGTAAAAGCTACAGTATCTGGTGCGACAATATTTCGCAAGCTACGGGCTTTTATTAGGCACGCGCCTGGTTATTTATTCCTTATGGGGACAGATTCCGAAATAATATTAGCTCATCTTGCCATCTTGACTCTTCTAAGAATCTTCATCAGCTTCGTTGGAAGTCTGAACCACGTTGCGTCAGGTACGTCCACATAGATCCCCGTATACAGTATACTATACAATCTCCTTGATCCCATTCTCTTATACCTCCATCGTATTTCGGCGCTTGTCTCCTCCTTTTATATCTCCTTAATTTTCATATACTGTCTTTTATATCGTGCCGCCGGGCAGGCAATAACATTTTTACGAGCCACGAAACATTTATTGCTGGTTATGCCCTCCTCGCCGCTTTATTATCATATCGCGTAATACCTGCCGTTTAAGGATGCACAGGTGCCGTACGATTTTTCGCGATACACCATTCTCCACCGTTTCACAACTTGAGCCAAAGGACAGATCATCAGCGAGATCACACAAGTATTTGGATAAGACAGAAATAACCGTCTAGTCATCCAATAAGCAAATGGCTCAAGAGAGCTCAGACTGCCCAAGTTTACGGCATCTCTGGAACAACCATTTGCATTATCTTCGCCTCTATAGTTTCAACAGGCGGTTCGCGTTTCGAAAAATAAAAGATTAAGACTGATTATGGATACGGTGGAAATACCTGAAAACCAAAACCCGAAAATCCTCCAACTCATTAATGCAAGGCCTACTAGGCTCCCGCTGCATCGCGTCCGCTCAGCTATATACTTGAGGTTTAATTCGGGCTGGGCAAATTAATTTGCAACAATGAGCGCCACGGTACACGCTGTTAGCGTTGCGTTTCGAATTGGGAGATTAGTGCTGTTCATTAAACACGACTAGCCGGGTTTACGTCCTATTCATACTGCATCATCGCCATCATTCTCTCGACTCGCAGCATCACTTTGGATCTCGTTTTAGATATCTCGTAAACATCCGCTAATAATTCATATCGAGACGATCCTCCATCCCGGAAATTGATAATTAAATGGCTTCTCTCGTTCCGTAGAATTTAAAACTATCGTGATATTTCCAAGAGATATCACACCGTTGGTACACGTGGAAACAGAGCTTTATTCGTCAATTCATTACATCCAAATAGGATGTGTGCCCGTTGCAAATCAAATCCGTCTCTGGCGCCGGGTGAATCCGGAAATGAGGATAACGATCCCGTAATCAGGACGCTTTGTACAATTAATTAACATGCACTCTATAAATGTATATACATGTTGCATACTAGCCATGAGATCCATCTAATCGATGATTCTGAAATAAAGTAATACCAACGATTGACTACAATACTGGCCCAATATTTCGCTACAGGACAGATACAATAAAAAGAAAAAGTATCGAGGCAACGAGTCTCTCTCTCTCTCTCTCTCTCTCTCTCTCTCTCTCTCTGCGGTGCAAAATAACGAAATGCTAACAGCCACGATATAACTGGCAAGTAGTAGCGCTTAGCATATTGTCGCGACCACAATGGCAATTTGTGTGATATATCTGGCCATTACCGGAACGCGTTTCAAATGTAGCGGAATTAACTCGTCGGCAGCGCCATTCAAAAGAAAAAGAAATACGCCAGCGAACGTATTATACATGGACGAGAAAAGAGAGGAGGCGCTAGATGTGCCATGTGCCTTCGAATGCGTGAACGCAGAATTCTCTGTTCTGAACCCTTAAAGCACACGCTCGATAATGCGCGCTCCTGCTCCTCCGCACGGGGTCCTCGGTCTCTAGGTGAAATGCTCGCAACACCCATGTGGATTTTCAACATGGTGTACGTGAACTCGAGCAGCCGTGAACGATAAATATCCACGGCGACAAAGTATCCCGCAATAGGAAAAGGTTCGCGGGACTTGACTTACGATACCCATAGGAGCCCTAAGTCACCGCTTATGCTAACCTAACCTCACCCTCGACGAAAACGATATAATCTTGATTCCTACAACTCGTGCTTGTCCACGAGACGCGCTCTGGCCACTTTCTCGCGCATTAGTTTTCACGCAATTAATGCGCCGAGTGCAATTAGCTCGTTATGCGAAGCGGGTTGGATGATGATTCGTTTACGTAGAAAGTGAAGAGAAGTTGGTCGGTTATTAAATCAAATGGAATTATGCGGGGAAAATTCCGAGCAATTCTTTCTGTAGGGGATGTAATGAGGACAATGCACAAAAATAGAGAGAATTCGGTGGAGAGAGAGAGAGAGAGAGAAAAAAAGAGTAAAGGGATCGTAGCTCTTTATTATTTAGGGAAAATTGTAAAACCACTGTGTGGCGGCGCTGGCAGTGGGCCTGTGGGAAATGACAGGGGGTGGTTTGTGCTCCTGCAGGGTGAAGAAAAATTGTTTTTCACGTACCAGCAGATAGGTATGCTGCCCTTTAAATCTCATTATTAGCGCTTGCGAGCTATTTGAAAAATAACCAAGGGTTACCCACGGGCACGCGGCATGCGGAAGGGGCGCTTAATCCGCGACGGTTTAGCCGTAAAACGGGCGTAGCCTCCCGAACGCGTGCCACTCTCTTTTTCTCCTGCTTCCCCCTGTAGCAGTGTATAATATATATCCATCTCTTTGCTTCTCTCGGCTCTGCCAGTCCGAGTCCACGTGTTTAAGATTTTTTAAATGCGATAACAAGAACAATATGACTGCTGCTAAGTCGGCTCTCTCTCTCTCTCTCTCCCCCTCTCTCTCTCTCTGACACACGATTAAACACCAGGCGGAATTTAATAAAGTAGATTACGACCCCGCATCACGCTCTAGGGGTGCATTAGGTGAATTTTCCAATTTACCCTCGTATGGCAATAGATCCTTCTTTTGCTTGTGTTTAGGACGTCACAGATCTTGTTTTTACTTAGAGAATACACCTTAGGCTGAATAGATCACGTATGCGTAGGCAACCAGATATTTTAAGCGAATTTATAATCGTAACGTGAGACCTTTTTGAAAAATGACTAGACATTTTAATAAAGCGTGTTTTCATCTATCGTCCCTGTTCATCGGCAATTTCCGATTGGGTCGCCCTGGCATGTTTATCGATCGCCATTGTCTAGGAGTGTAGGGCTGACTTTTCATCGTGACGGCCACACCTTGCGAACTGCCTCGATCTCCCGTTAAACTAAAATGAACCGTAATAGCGTAATGGGAGGGACTGTGTTCTCTAACAACCAAACTTCAGCCATGACACTCCGTAGCCACACTTCTCCAAATGAAGTGACACACGCGAGCGGCTGAATCTACCCCCGTCGTCCCCAGGCCGGCCAACTTCTTGCTCCTTCGCCTCAGCGCCCGAACCACCCCTAAGACGAACCTACACGAATAGCTCCCCTTAATTTGCATTCGTCGAGATATTTAGACGTCGTTTCGGCCCCTGATGGCTTCCTGACACGGGACATTGTTTCCCAGTAATGTTTAACCCACCGTGGCTCTCTACCATCCCTTACCCTTTCGCAGACACCCCTCTACAGCTTACTTTCTCCTTGCCGACAATTCTCCTACCCTCTCATTCATTGGAAGAGATTACTCAAATTCGCCAAACACTTTACCCCATTTTCATTAAACCAAGCTCGCACCTTTATTCGCTATACGTGCAAATCCTCGCAATACGTAAACAGTAATTCTGATTGCTACCAGTACGATAGCGATGCGTTAATACATCAGCAACCGGTAGCGAGGCGAGACGAAGGGAAGCGTAGCGCGTAATAAATCGAGGGATGGACATAATACGATGATGAGAATTTCTCGTGCTGGAGGCTCGTCATCTGGTAGAAGGAGTGCTCGCAAAGGGAACGAGCGAACGTAGCGCGGGAGAGGCATGTGGGATAGGAAGAAGATCGATAGGCCAACTTGAAACGGAATTAAGAGATTCTGCAAAGGATCATGAAAAATTGAACACGATTTCCCATCGATCGGATTAATATATAAATCACACGTGTTAATCTTATAATATTGATAATTTTTTAATCAGCTTATACAATGTCACTGTCA